AAGGAAGAGCGTTCCAGACGGCCGTAGAAGTGCATATAAAAGCATGCGATGCAGTGACCATCTTTGTTCGATGGCTAGCCAAATGCTGCTGCGAGGATGACCGGAGTTTGTGTGATGGTTTATGCTCTTGACAAGAGAAGCAAAGTATTGTGGTTCATTTGTGGCAAGCACTTTGTGTGGAATGAGCGCAACCTTATACGTAATGTATTCTTTCAGCAACCTGAAGCCAAAGCAGCTTGGAAGCCAACGACTAAGGTGCTCGCACTTTGCATTATTTCTGATTTGAGCATCCATGCAACTGCCATGCTTCCTTTGTTAATAGTCAGCAGCACTAACGCTTTCAAATAAACAAGGATGCACGTGAACTGCATGTAATTAAATTAGTGAAATAAAAACCTGCACAGGCAGGGCATGTGACCTTTCTTCCAAAATAACAGTCCCATTAGCAGCTGAGCACCAATACTATCTGGAAATCTGAGCACAACATGTACCACAGATTTTGGGGCACATAGGAGAAGGAAGATAAGGTTTCTTCATTTTATAAAGTTAAATACCAGTGCGTTAAATTTCAAACTAACATGACACTGTGATGCTGTACATAATGCAAGGTCATTCTTTTTTTGTTTTTCAGGCATTTTATGTGAAAATTTAAATAATACTATATCATTTGTTTTTCTAAAAATATATATATATTAAAAAACTCATTACAAAACTAAGTGATAAATTATTACTTGATCTGAATAGTCATCTTTACATGTAAAAAATAAATTCACAGCCGTTATGTCAATCCACTGCTGGATGAAGGCCTCACCATGTCATATTGGTCATTGCGGCTGTTTAACAATACTTCACAACACATATCGGGGGAGAAAATATTACATGGATCATAAACTTGGAAACAACGATTAAACCGTTAAAAAAAAGACTAATATTATGAATAATATTGGTCGCGAAAGCCTACGTGTTAAACAGACTAAATACAAGTCTATGCTTAGACTTACAGTACTCAGTTCGACAAAAAAAGTGCACAGATTGAAAAGCAAACAAGAACCTGAGAATTCACACCTACTTTCAAATGGACGTGGGTAGAATATTTACCAGAAGCAATGATAATCTCAAAACAAAAGTGTTGAGATAGCATTTGAGAGGGGGAACAAATCAAAAAGGAATCGCGAATGGGGAGACTGAAGCATACAATCAGATCAAATGTCATAGTAAAATTAACTGCTGCTACACAAATCACTCACGTTGTCATCTACATGGAAAGTTTTTTTTTATACAGCTGTGTATCTATGTTGAACTTCTTGAGCACTGTATGTAGTGAACCATGCTAATCGGAGGTGGGGGAAGGACAATAAACTAAACACAAAAGCAGTTCTAAAGAAATAGAGCTGTCAATCTATATTTAAAAGTGCATAGATCCAGTGGCTTCCTAATATCTGAAGAGCGTTCCAGATGATCGCAGAAGCGCATCCGAAAGCGTGCACGATGCAGTGACCGTCTTTGTTCGATGGTTAGCCAAAAGCTGCTGCTGTGAAGATGATAGTCACACTGCTGGAAGGGCGAAATAAGCCAAAATGGCACACCGTGGGCTACAAATGGACGGCTGACGAAATGCTTCAGCTATTTTGATTTAAAGCTTTCGTGACTGCAGGGATTCATATTCTTGGTTCTTTCGGTAACGTCACGTAGAAGGGAAACAATAAAACAATTAAAAAAATATAAAACAATAAAATTCTCACATGACTTTACCGAAAGAACCAAGAATGCTTCAGCTATTGTAAAAGCGCAGGGGGGTAAGCTCTGCACATCCCTTTGGGAACTCAGGGCAAGGGACTTCAACTGCAGGGGTCATTGCAGGGGTTTGAGAACTGGGTGATGTGGAGTGGCGCACCACCCACCTGCCTCGGCCATTCAGCAGACGGGGACAGCAGGGAAACTAAATGTTCCCTTTCATGTATAATTCAAGCACCGTACAGAATTTAGAAATGTTGGATACTACATATCTGAGTGAGTAATCTAGCAATCACATATGATATCCGTTATGTAAGACAAAAACACCATTTACTTAAAACGGTCAATATAAAATTGGCATGTTAGGAGACAAATTACTTACTTTAAACACATACACTCCATTTTAAATACTATATACAATCGAAAAAAGTTAATCCAATAAGTATATCATTAAACCTTTGTGGCTTTACTTTGTCAGCAGCCCCAATAAGCATCAAGGTGATACTATTAATCTCACATGCTACTTAGCCTTGAAACAAGTCATTTTAGGCATCTAACCACAAGATCTAAACTAGCTTCAGTGGGGGATTAATGATCATACTGCAGAGCAACAAGTGACTAAGCTTTGATGTTTTAATTCAGAAAAAAATGTAAAAGAAAAAACAACCCCAGTTTAACATTTCCCATCAATTTCTCCAATTTAAATTTTTCGCAAAAGCAGGTTGGAGTTCTTTTAGAAAACAAAACTTGATAGTGAAAATCAACGTACCAATGTCCCTAAAGCGGAACGTTTCCAATCAGTGCCCATTACCTGCTATAATATTTGGATTAGAAACGTGCACATTGACAAATAACACGGATCAAATGCTGAAAAGTGCGCAAAGCATGGAGAATTGCAGCTGTAAAAAGAAAGCGGAGTCCAATAAATCACCCTGGAAGGAACACTCGCTTGAGCGTGTCAGGGGGTGGGGGGGCCCCACGGCACACGAATCAGGGAAACGGGGACCTCTGAATCGCACATAAAGACATGTTGACTTTTAAGAGAAGCAAGTCAGCTTGAGCCAGACACATTGGGAGAACACAAGGTTCCCCTGATTAGCATGGTTGGCTACGTACGAAAGAAGTTCAACATACGCACAAGGTGGCCGATGGTCGAGCCTAACGACCTAGGCAACCCAATTTGGGAACAAGCCCAAGAGAATGACCACTGCAGAGATGGAACGACAAGATCCAGGAGCCACATTAACTGTTGCATCATGAAACTGAGGGATGGTCACAGCTTGGGGATGCCTTCATCCAGCAGTGGCTAGCTATGCTCTTGCTGCTGTTGGGAATGTTACAAGGCCTATAAGTTATTGTTCATAATAACGAATAATAATTATATTGTTTATCCTGGAAAGCCTCACCGAGTCTTCAGACTGTTTCAAAAGGATGGTGTATTGCACCCCTCCAAGATCAAGAGATGCCAAATTGAGCACCTCATCCCCCTCCCCTTGATAATGTGGAGCAGGTGCATTAATAATGACATGATTCTTGTAAAGGACATCAAGCCCACTCTGAACCTATTTCCTTGCTAACATCAAACATTGCACACCACTCTCAATAAGAGGGGACCATCACATGCCGGTATTATGGCCTAGATCTCCATTTAAAATTGTCAGTGATGTTTGTATTTTTTCGGTGCTTTCGAAATGCAGAGATCTCGTAAATTAGTCAGAATGTTGGCTGATGAAGGAACCTGGAAGATTTGTATCATTAAAAAACTGCAAAAGACGTAACATTAGTTTTAAAAATCCCCAAGAACCACTCTGCCATATTAGTCGTGCCCTAAACATTACTCCAAAAAACCTTGGTATTAGTGCAGCCCTGGCTCTTAATGTTATCTATTACTCAACAGCGTAGCCCACAGCAACAGCTCACCACTGAAACTCCACCTCGATGCTTTTATATAATCACAGAGTAGTCCTCTTATCGAAAGTCAATTGCAAGGCTTGAGTTCGTGGCAATATATTCCAGTTTGTATACCAAATAATTTCATTGGGGAGTTTTGTCGGTCCCCAATTATAACAGACATCCATGGTTTAAAACAAATTTGCGGGATGAAATTTGTAAGTATTTTATTATAGTTAACATGATTTATGATTTAAAAAAAACTATTTTAAAATAAAAAAATGTGTTCTCTGATTTTAATCATTGAACCAAAACAAATCTTCACATGTATTTAATAAAGAAATGTTTCACATTATGTACTCAGTTGCTAGTGTTTACATCATGAGCTATTTTTTTCTCATACCATCTCTTTTGTTGTGAGGTCAATATTGATATATCATAATATTCCTCAGGCATTTGATTTTGTACCACCCTTCCTGCTTTTGTCAAAGGATTTACCAACCAGTTTCCTGATGCTGTCAGCCATTCTCACTTTGTTACCACCTTTCCTCTCTCCTCCACCCTTCCCCTCTGTAATAATTATTTCTAGAAGTGTTCGCATCATTGTACATAATGTGGGCAAACATTTTTTTATATTCGATATTCAATTAATGTATTTGCAGGCGAGTGAGCTGCCACCGATAGCTTTTCATGCCAAAGTCTACGTGCTGTTACAGATGGATAGCCATTATATAATTTATCTAATACAGAGGGGAGGGGCTGTTCTACAAATTCAATGTCCACTCAATGAATGGTGATATTACTATTTCCAAGAATGTTCAAAACATTGGCGATCTCAATGATCCAGGACTTTCTTTCTTTCCTCTCATCTGTCAACTTTACCTCCATTTGTACACAATATATTATAACCACAATTTCCTGAGCACATCTACTGATGAGATTCATATTCTTGCTTTAGACGCTTTCTCGCATTCACTCCTGAAAACTCCCTTTTCTAAGACTTCCCCAAATCCATTACCACAAAACTTCAGAAATACCAAAATAATGCAGATGAAAGCAAATGTAATTCCACTTTCTGCATAAGGGAGTTCTGTGGCCTGCCTGCTACAGAAGAGAGTACTGCAGATTAGGGCACAACTATAGAATCCACCAGTTACTGAGGAGTTAACCATATCTGTATGTATGCATGTTTAATTTATTTTGCACCATATGCAGCCAACTGTGCTACCTGTTATCTACAGACCACAAAGGGGAGGCCGCATCTGTAATCTACCTACTAGAGAACAGATAGCAGCTTAATGTTCTATCTACTACAGAGCAGAGGTGACTATAACTGTGATCTGCCTGCTGCAGGGAAGAGAAAAGCTGTAATCTACCTGCTGCAGAGGCGAGAGTGGCTCTTGCCAAGCAGTCTCGCTTGACAGCATGCGCGCGTGGGATTCCCGCAGCGCCAGGAGCCTGCGCAGGGCCACATCTTCGGGCAGCGCCACGGCCGGCCGCTGCTCCCCTCTCTCACAGCCACTCACAAAGCGCACGGCTCCCGGTGGCAACTGCGTGCCTGCTCGATCGATCAGAAGCAGACAGCATCACCACTATCAACGTGAATACTGCCTTAAAATTGAAAGTGTTAAGCTTGCGAGGCGTGCTCACATTGTTAAATGTGAGTATGAACGGCAAAATAAAACGTTTCTTTTTGAATGGAGATTATTTACGGTTACAAACCATTTACAACAAAGAAAAAAAATTCGAGTTCATATTTTTACCCAGCCATAATCGTTCACAATGACTGTTATAATGCATTTCACTGCATGAATGTTTACTTGACAAACTCGTATTTTTTATATTTTCCATGTTTGTAAGTGCGTACCTGCCGCCATCAGTTTCGCGCTGTCAGGCAAAATGTTAAGCAGGACCGAGAGGCGATTCCAGAGGTTTTGGGAGCTCTGTGGTGAAAGAGGAATTCAACGACACATGAATTAGGCTTCAACAATCAGGTGTTAAGGAAAGCTTTTCAACGGAATGTTAAAATCCATTTTAACGTCAAAGTAGACACCTGCATTTAGAAACAACTAAAGATTATGGCTGTTTACACAAATTCCACAAACATTTCCGCCACGCGGCATCGTGGGAGAGCGTTCCTCACCGGTGCGCATGTGCGCACAATGTCTGGGTTAATCCGCAGCCAGTCAAGGAACACTTTGACAGAGGGCAGGAGCCCTTCGCGGCACAGGATGTCCAGCGTCTCGTCCGTGGTTCTCTCTCGCAGCGGCCCTCGCTCGCCCTCACTGGGTGTGCTGCGCGTCTCCTCCGACGACACACTTCCATTTGCTGCACCTATTTTAAGTGAGAGTGGGGTCAATAGTAGACATGTAAGAGTTTCCCCACACCCCCCTCCCAGCGATCCAATGAATAATTGTTATGATTCGGAGGGTCGGGATTCCATTCAACAATAGATTTGTTTTCTTGCTATTACAAATTTTTTTGTATTTAAAATTGTTTGATATCTCGTCCATGAAGTGTTTTTCTCCAAGTCATTGCAATGATTCTATGCATAATTTGTGAGCCAATGAATTGATATTAATAGGTGAATTTAAACATTGTTAAAAATGTATAGTCAGTGGTCACCAAGGGTGTGAAAATAATGGGATATCCCTGCCAGGTTAGCTCAGGTTACCTTGTGCTGCTAAAAAGTGATGTAAATATCCAAATGTGTTAAATTTAGGACACTAAACAATTGTATCAGAGTATTTGGGAATATGCCAACAAATACATATTTACCTGTATTCAAGTCTGCCAGAGTGCCGTTTTGTTCTTGGAAAAAATAAAACAAAACAAATTACTTTCTTAGAATTTCACTGGTGCTATCAAAGGATGCCAAAGTGCTGTAAACTTGAACTTAATCCTCTTTAAAGTTACTTATCTTCAGAAACCAATTGCTTGAAAAGTTGATATTAGCATAGCCACTTACCATTGTCAATGGGCCGGATGTCCTCGCCATTTTCGCTGGGCTTAACGGCCTCCACAGTGGGTACCGGGAGTGGCTGTGAATCTTGCGCAGGCTGCGACACAGTGCTGGGTTCAAAGGCGGGTGCCAGCCTGTAGCTGCGCCTAGACTGGAACATCTGCAGGCTGCTTGCGATCGTGCCCAAGTTCACTTCCTCTGTTGCCGTCAGTGCCCCGTTTTGCGCCACTGTATCTGACCATTGCAATGCACAGGGTGAAGGGAAGATGGGTTAGGCAATTTATCGATATTCAATTCATAACACGGCCTTTAAAGGGGAAGTATATAACAGGCAATGTTTGAGGCAATAGCCCTTCATAGCAAATATGGAGAAATTATAGAAAATGAGTAAAACATTTTATTTGAGAGCCTCTACATCTCCCAACCATGTCAATAGACAATTAATACATCTTTTAACACTCTGTAAGGCATGGCGCCATCACTTTCACAACATTTCACCACCTGTAGAGAATAAATCAGTAGCGTATCTAAAAATATATCACCCTGTATAATAAACAAGGTGCAATATATATGATGGAAATGTCATTTTTATTAGCTCTTCCAGTGCCGCTAATCGTCAGCATTTTGGAATAGTGATGTAATTACAAAAAGAGAACATTCATGCATGTGTCAGACAAACTATGAATAATGCGTTATTACACAATTTTAGTACTATATTTAAATGATAAAAGGGCATTGTGTGTGCTCAAGGGATGATGTGGGTGTGTAACATTTGCTATTCTTCTTTCTTGTTATACAATACCTCGTGCTAACTGCTGGGTGTTAAGTCTCTTTGTGCCGAGTGGCACGAACAAGGCTGTGGGGCACTAATCTATTACAAAACAAAACTGTTTAGGTTAAATAACCTATAACTATAACATTCCCATTAATGATATTTTGTGTTAATTATTTACGCTGTTTAAGATTGGTTGAACAAATATATTTTGCCAGGGAGGAGTGGGTGAACCCTGATGGAGAGGTATGGTAATAAAGCTTCAGAATTAAGATGTTGCAATTTTTTATGGTTAGATATGGGTGATGACACGAACACACTGTTCAACATTATCAGCACTGACCTATTCACTACTGGAAACGAATGCTCCCCAAGCATTCATCATCTCCCTCGGTTTGATGATGCCGTAACCCATCGAGTCCCTGCTCATGAGCTGATCGCATTGCTCCATCTCCGCAGTGGACATTGCCTTGGCTGTCATTCCGTCATTAGTCCCTTCACGAAATATGTCGTCTACTCAAGCCAATGTTGACTGGCAAGACAATAACTTACCAGTCAATATGATAACTCTAACTTGCATATTGTATTTGATCCATGAATTCCTCCCTCAATGTAATTCAAAACATGCCTTGCCAAGCTTCTTAGTGCATCACTAATATAATGAGCCAAGAATGTGTGTCACGCACGTGACGTCACTCCACGTCGACCAGCCCCCCTCATTAATAATCATGAACAGGTGGGGTCCTCCACATGGACCCCCCCCCCTCCGTCATTAATAATCATGAAGGGGTGACGTCACTCCGCATGAAGGTGAAGCGGAAACAAAAATTTGTTTACGCAAATTAGCTTTCATTTTTACCTTTCTTTGTGGAAAATAAAGCTAGTAAAGAAATCAACGCAGCAACTAATATAACGAGCCAAAAAAGCCTGTGTCTCGCGTGTGACGTCACTCCACATGGAGCACCCCCCTCATTAATAATCAGGAGCGGATGACGTGAGTCACCCCCCCCTCATTAATAATCATTAGCGGGTGACATCATGCCACATGGGGCACCCCCCCTCATGAATGAGCTGATGACGTCACTCATGTGAACCCCACCCCCACTCCCTCATTAATAATCATGAGTGGTAATAAAAATAAAGTTAATAAAAAATAATTAACATAAAATAAATGCCAGTACGCCCACCGAGGTTAAGAACCAGGCTACAGTCTACATTAGTGGTTTTTGTTTTTATTATTTTTATTATAATTTTTCTATCTACGTGACTTTACCGAAAGAACCAAAGAAAATGAATTCCTGCAGTAACGAAAGTTAAGTCAAAATTTAACCATGAGGGGGTCATTATTTTCGATTTAATATTTCAGATGAACTGCAATACACCCGTCCTTGGACAGGCTATCGGCTAGTTTTTAAAATGTTGTTACATTTTCTTTGTCGATGTCCAAGGTTCTAATCCACATCTATCAGGTTATATACCCCGATAATAGCACTTTAAACTTTCCAAAAATAAACTGTCCACGTTAGGCACAATTGTATGTTGCTTTTCATTATCCAAGTAAGTATTTTAAATATATTTCTATCCCCATCTACCTTCAATGACTGCCCTCGGTATACATATTGGTGTAAACGTCAGACATGCATAGTGTATAGTATGAATACACTATTGATGTTTTATATTTAATCCAAGTCTGCTTTGAAAACTCCTTGTCTCAACGAGCTCTCACCTCTTACATATTATATGAATGGGTCTTTAATTCTCAAATGCCGAATTACACAGTGGATACCTCCAGAAAGTACTGGGAAGTAGTGATTATTGTACAGTCTACTGTATTTAACTTGGCTCAGTGGGACATTTCCTGATCACTGGATTTGAGCTATTGGTGGATTTTCAAAAATGCTTTATAAACACGCACCAATTTGTGAGCTCTCTTGCTTTGTGCAGTCAGCCTCCTTGGTTCCGTCAGCTTGTCCTTCCACCTCTTTAATCCGCTGCACGTCTTCTGACACCTTCAAGATTTTATTTTTCTCTTCTTTTTCGTTGTCCACATCATCCTCCTCTTTATCTTCTGCCTCTTCTTCTTCCTCTTCGTCATCTTCGCCGTCCACATCATCAAGGTCTGACCGAGACTCCTGGCTGTTCATATCCGACTCAGAATCTGAGCCAAATGCAGCCGCTACCTCCTCATCCTCCTCCTGAAGGCAAAACTGTCATTAGTAGTGAGATTTCTCACCGACAACACCACATTGACAATCGGCAACATCAACAGAGTTGGCTACATACAGTGTGAAAGAAGTTCAACATACGTACTTACACAATAAATGGCATACCATAACACTACCACCATTATCACAATTAACAACACCAATAAGCATACTCTAAATGGTTAACTATGCTGCTGTCCTTTTGTACAAAATGTGAATTGAGTTTAAATGCAATAGGGATGAACTAACATACTGAGAAAATACTTTTTTTTTCAATAAAGCCCACCTTAAGCTGCCACTCATTACAATACACCCAACTGCATTGCCAACCTAAATTCATGAGCGATTCACCCTGCAGGATTGAATTTGTTGTGGGAAGAATAAGCCGAGTGAGTCATCTTAAGTGACTGTAGCCAGGACTGTACCTCTGAATTTGAAGCCCCTTCACTCTCTCCGTCACCACGGTCTCCTCCTTCATCACCATCATCATCCGAGTCGAAGTCTTCGCTCAAGTCACTCTCTCCGGAGCCACTGCCTCTCCTCCTACGGCGCCAGCGCAGCCGCGACGTCTTTGGCTCGAGCTTACCACGCTTTTTTTGCAGGGGAGGTGGCACTGACTCGACCACCGCTGATGACTGAGCTTCAACCGGAGCAGAAGCCTCGTCCTTTAGTGCCGCTCTGCCGGTAACTTCCTCTGTGCCAGGGCGTGCAGCTGAAGCTGACCTTCCAGTCTTGTTGACCAGTGTGTTCCCATCTGTAGTGTTTTTAAAGTTTGTTAGTGATTGATGTGATCCATCTGATGACCATCATTGTTGTGTAACCTACCCTTTTTATAAACTAAACTGCATCAATTACTAAATTAATGCCAATTTTTTTAAAATAAATAAATGTTAAAGAATCCCATCGTTGTTTGTAATAAAGTACAATACATGAGCGGATGACGTGAGGCACCCCCCCCTCATTAATAATCATTAGCGGGTGACATCATGCCACATGGGGCACCCCCCCTCATCAATGAATCCCAATTCCACTTTATACCCACAGAAAATGGGTATACAGCTTTATTCAGCTTAATATGAATTTTAAATATGAATTACAGTAATCCACTGCTAGACGAAGGGCCGCCCATGTGCCGTTTCAGTTATGAGGGTTGTTTGACTGTACTTCATCATGTTGGTCAGTACAGGATGGTGAAGTGCGGGACTCAGGATGAATTCTGATCACGTCATTGATGTTAATCATAGATAGGAATCGAACTCAAGTCACCAGCATTATAATGCAGTGCGTTAAGAACTGCGCAACCGCTCTACCCCTGGTTCAGCTTACCCCATTATAACATTTCCATAATAAGCCAGGAGAATATAATGTTTCTGGGATAAAGCTTTTGGCTGTTATTGCATCCTACTGAGACTCAAATTCAATTCAACACTGCAATGCCAGAATATGAAAGGAGCTGCAAGCAATTCAGGGAAAATCATAATCTAGGTGAAAACTTGTCCGGTTATGTGCCCCATGTAATACCACCAATGTGTGAAGGGCACATACGCAAAATGGATATGCTTGCAAATCTCCTACTTACTAGGACAGATGGCATCAGCTGTTTACATTCATTATTTTATGGGGAAGAAACCTTTCCATATTGTGTCTCAATATGAATGTGCCTAAAAGGAGACAGTTTAACAATGCATCTCATTCTGACAATGCAGCAAGCTCTTTAAGCCTCCATACCATTCTACTCAACTTATGACCAAGTCACTCCCAATGTGCCCTATCTTCTCAGATCTCAGAAGCTAAGCTGCCTTGAGCCTGGATAGTGCTTGCATGGATTACCAATATTGCCAAAACAGATGTTACAACCTGCTGCAGGGCTATGTTGTGGGCATCACCAGGTAGTGCAGCCATATACATTGTTGTACAATATTGTGCTCCCACATCTATGCTCTCTGCCTACAAAAACCCGCACTGACCAGCGTGTTGGTGTGCGGTTAAATAACCCCCATGACCTGCACAGTGAGGGAAGGCCCTCATCCAGCAGTGGACCGACAATGGGCTGTGCATTTAATTTCATAGGAAATTTGGCGTTCCAAAATCAGTCGCAGAGAGACCTACTGATAATCTCTTAGATATCAACTAACATATTTCTTGTTGACAGTTGAGGCTATTGGAACTTGGCAAATACACAACGCGTGTACACAATATACTCATTAGTTGAGTGCATTTGGTGCGTCATTAAATGTGGCACCGACCTTCCTCGCTTGGAGGCAGAGCAGGCACAATGTTTTCCAAGTCGTCCATCTCGACCTGCAGCCGCATGATGAGGTGGTTGAGGAGGTGAGAGAACAAGGCCAGGGTGAATGCCACAGCCGTTGTGAATTGCTTTGATCCTGCGAACAAAGCACATAACAAATACAGGCACATAGATGTACACACACACACACGTGTACAAACACACACAAATGCATAGACGAACACGCACATTATTTCAATGCACCATGTAGGCCAAACACAATTTATCTCAGAACGTGTAAGGCATTTCAATGCAAAAGAAAACTATGCTCAGGTTGGTCAGTGTAATAAACACATTTCGAGCATTAATTTTTCTTGTAAAAGCTTATATGAAACAAACGGCCATTAAACAAATTTAATTAACAAACCCACCGTTCTTGATTTTCACGATGATGTTTCAGTGTGAAACATAAGGTAAGCCATTATACTTTGAAAATATTGTAATTTATATGGCAATCAAGATACAAAACCAGCGGGTGAGGGTGGTCATACATAATTATTTCATCATGCTAATTTTTTTCTTTTTAAATACAGTAATGGATATATGGTACTATATTGAGATTTATATTATAAAAAAGTGGTAGATTAATCACTTTTAAGGGTTTTTTTTTATCTAGTGGTTAATAAAGGCACAAATAAAACTAAATATTTCTTTCACAAGGATCATGAAGTATTATAGCTGCAAACACAAGGATGGAAAACGTGTTATCTCAAACCATAAACATGAAATGTATTAAGTAGAGGCTAAATGAGAAGAGTCTCACATGTCGAATACCAAGCTTATATATAAAAAAAAACACTGGTATAATAATATAATTTGATTCTCACTTCACCAAGTACAACTATGTACCAATATATCGATATCAGTTCGATCTCCAGTTCCCTCCGCAGAGTCTGCATGTTGCATGCAGCAATTATTAAACACAGAATGCATCCTGTTTATAACCATCAATTCTTCGCACCCCCTGCTAACATGAGCCCTCAAGCCCAGTCAAAATAGTAATTGAAAACCTATGCGAATACATAATTTTTTTATGTTTTGCATTTTCCCAATTAACTTTGATTCACTCAAGAAAGAGAGGACCCAATAAAGGTTTCTCTGAGCGCGAAATATGCTGTGTGTGTGGTGTTTGTGTCTAAATCCCGGCAAGATAGCACGGTGGGGAGCATAATCTTCGTCAAAATATTAACTACCTCGCCTGGTATACAGGAGATCGTGGGTTTGACCCTGACCCTAACGCCTGTATATGTGGAGTTCGCTTGTTCTCCCCGTGGCCGCGTTGATATATCTCCGGGTCCTCCGGGTTTTCCCTCCACATTTCAAGTATTTGGCTCTAATAAATTTCCACATAAGTCACTTCGTTGAGCAATCATTTGTGGCTAGGTCACTTCTGAAAAAGAGCTATATAGCTCACTGGCCCTTACCTGGCAAAATAAAAATAGTTATATCATCGTCCACCCCGTGACCTCCTGCCAGTGAGCCTTTGACACTTCACTTGGCCTCAAAGTGCATCCTGCCTAGTACAAGCACCATGGTGATATCACCGCCACTTCGGTCCAAAGAGCAGTTGTTGTTGCTGCGCTGCCCTGTGGAATCACTTACCTGCCCTCTTCAGGCCGTGCAGGCCCATGAGGCAAAGCACGAGCATTCTGAAGACAAGAAGGTGGGAGAGGCACGGGGCGTCATGGTCCTCGGGTCCTGCACCGGCATTGGCCCCCGCGGCCGGCAGGTAGAACATGCAGAGGTTAAAATCGTGCAGGACGGCCTGGCACAGGGAGGTAACCTCTGCCTCTGACACACTGACAAAAACACAGGCCAAGGAGCGAGTGTTAGGAGTCGTGGGGGGATGTCAACAGATTAAACGTACGGAAAATGTTTGCCTTGATTCCAGTTTAATTGAAAACATTACAAGTAAAAACAAACAACCCAAAATTTACACGACCATGCGGTGATGTGATCCATACCTGCTGGTTGGATGAAGCAAACTCTGAAGGTAGAGGAAGCTCACAAGAAGCTTTTTAAGGTCTCGTGACCTGTTCATTATTTACATGTAAAACAGACAACAGTTTCATGGAAATTTACATTCATCTCCAGAAAAAAAACTATAAAGGTTTATGATTCTGAAATGGAGTTCACATCGGCAAATATCTAGCATTGCATGCTTAAAAACGAGATAATATAAATTCACATCCAAAGGTTTGCCATTGCACTTTTGAGAAATTCAATAAAAATGTACTTCTCAATCGAGTTTCAGTGCTCATTAGATACATATCCAGCGACACCTAGTGGTGATCCATAAGAGGTTGTTTGGGGATCATGGCTGCGAAGGCCTACGTATTAAACTATCTCGTGGTGACATTCATTAATTGACAATAATATTTACCCTTGCGATACATGCAACAAATCCTGTAATAATTGTTTTAAGATTAAAGTCACTTAAATACAATAGAGAAAATACGACTGTGTAAATTATACAGGCAAAAGTAAGCTTTTTTGTTAAATAAAACTGTGATCATTTCTTGAATTAATGCTGGAGTAAATTGTTACATGGCTACAAGCCAATATCCTTTCCTGTAGCCAAAACATAATATTCACTAGAACATAGAGTTTCAAGACATAAGCCTCAAGGTATCACAGAAAACCTCAGTCCCTTGGAAACAATTTGTTGGCATTCATTTTCACAGAAGTCTGTCCTGAAGAAACACCATTAAATTATCCTTGTTGGCATTAAAAAAACTACCATTTCATGTTATACACTTGAAAACAATACTTCAATGAAGCAACATCTTTATGACTTTACATTTAGATTGCATGACATTCTATAGCCATGCACGATCAAATACAGGTATGTGACAAGTTCTTTATCATGGCTGCATTCAGTTGATAAAAGTGTGAATGATGCAGTTGTCACACCTCTGTTTACTAAGGGATGCCTTCTTACAAGGAGCCTCTTTCTTGAGGAGCTCCATATACATCTTCTTGGCTTTAATAAACACTCGTCTCATGTTACCAACAGCACCGTCAAATCCCACCTCAGACTGAATGCTAAGGTGGAAACAAAAGTGGAAAATATACTTGAAATTTTCGTACCTAAAGAAGTTTTTGAAAATTAATCAATAAAAAAAGATACACATGTCAAAACTTATGTAAAAAGTGTTTATGCATTATAGCCATAGGCAATGGGGTTTACCAACGCATGTAGTAGTAGGCTGCCTCCACATTGTAAGAACGGTTCCCAGCCAATGTACCCAACTGATTTAAAGGCATTCCTATAAAAAAAGACAAGAACGCAGTTACACAAACCAGAGGTTCGCCCTTGGCGCAGTTCACAAATTCTGTTGAGACATATGATTCAAGTTGACAATACAAACTGGTTGAGTAGCATATACTATTATTGTTGTTGAAGCTTCCATCCCCTAAACTTTACTCCTCCCTTCCCTCCCCACCTCCACCAAGAGTCATGGTGGTCAAATAACTACGACAGCCCGCAAAGTTCAAAATATTTATCTTAGCATGTATTATTATTGCGATGATTCAGGCCAAATATGATTCATAGGGTGCACCCCTATGAATAACACATTAATTATTCACAAATATCAAGCTTTATTTGTAAGTTGATGCTCTTTACCACTGCACTGGTATGATGACAGCATAGTATAAAGGTACTGCAAGAATAGCAATTATCACAAATGACCACTGAATGACATTTACTATAACAGAGGTTAAAGGTTTAGATTGAAGGGCACCAATGACAGCAGTGATATTTTTTTGAAGATACAACTCAAAATTAAACGTGCAGACAAACACAAGCCATTGATGTCCATTTCTATGCTCCACTGCTTATTCTCCCCAAACTTAAAATTCACCAACTCACACGAACCATAAAGGTGAAATATAGTCACATAATCCCCACGATCCATACGACATGAAGTTGTTGCTCATCCAGCAGTGGATTGACAAAGGGCTGTACATGTAAAATGTGCTGGGAAAATGTTTTGGGAATTAAATACAAATGCATCCAACTCTTATTTGGGTTGTTCCCTCTTCCCCCACACCTGAGATTATCATGGGTGGCTACATATGGTGTAAAAGAAGTTCAACAAACATACATACAATACACAAACTGGACAATTCCAGTGGTAAGTAGAGATGTTCTCAACGTACCAACGTGGGGAGCTACTGCCAGAGCCTGGAGGTAAAAGCGCTCGGACAGGTGATGGGTGTCGATGACGCCCAGCTCATTCTGGTAGCGAGCTACAGCAGAGATAGCCAGCACACACCATCAGTCACAGCACCGCTACTCAACAGCGACATGCATACTACTCCGCATCTGTGTTCCACATGCAAAATATGAATACAACAATATTTGCTTGCTAAAATATATGAGCTCAGTGATAGGGAAGACCACTACGGGAAGTGTTCTGTTTGACCACAAATGTCAACAAAAACCAGTACATTCTGTGGCTTAGACAGCGGCTTCCTTCCTTCTGCATTGTTTATTGTTTCTTGTTTACTCGGTAGCTCACCTAGGTCTCCAAGGTATATCAGGCAGTGGTGACAAGCCATCCGTGCCCACTCCAATGCACGGGACGAAACCACCGCTGGTTTCTTCACAGCTGCAACAAGAAACATTACAAATATCGTTAAAGTACAATCACATCACGTGATACAAAAAAACTATTGGATATTTTTTTTTACAAAAAGGCAGTTGCTCATAGGAAGGGTAAAAATCAAGGTCTTGAGCCTGGATTTGAATAGGAGCAGAGGACTTGGCAGCATGGATGACTGCCGGCAACATTATAACATTATAGACCACCCATGATGCAAAGGTGGACTGAAGCTTCGACAGAAAGCCTTGGTTGGTTGAGTGGAGTGCGGGGAAGGAAGCAGTGAGATGAGAGGGGAAAGGTATGTAAGAGTGAGTCCAAATACAATCCAATGGCTTTAATAGAGGAACACTTTCAGATTTCTTTTAAAGCTCTGTACACTTACAAACAATGCAAATAACTTTTACATTTAGAAATCAGCCAGTATGGTGCATTGAATATTTTAAACCTCTTGAATATCTTAGGAAAGAAAAATATTATTTAGGTCTTGCTTATTTGCATGTGGAATTTACATGCACCATCTGTGCACAGATGCACAGGCATTGCCGTGACTCTGGATTTGAAGCGGAGGTGCTTACACAAAAGAAACAAAGTTATTATTAGTACTTGCTTCGTGATCTCAGTCTGCTTACTGAATGTTCAAAGAACTGTCAGACACGTGTTCATCAAATTTTCAAAAACTCCCTTGAAAACAGCAACGCTTGAGTGCCACCTTGTGGATGGATAAAAGATAAACTGCCAATCATTTGAAATTCTGCAATATAATCCGTTGCATAGTAATAATGCAGAATGGACAACTTTTCCAGGTAACCTGTCTCCAATAGCACAGATTGGATATAACTGATGGAAAACAAGAACAAAATAATAAAACAATCGCATTATTTTATGCCACCACGATGGCGCTGTACCGCTCAGCGTGTCGACAACGTGGGTCCAGTCGATACAGGCCTGCAGCTCCAGCTGGTAGTGAGACTGCAGGGTAAGCAGCAGGTGTTGGTAGAAGCCGACACCCGCGACAAGATGCGTGCGGTACGCGCATTCCATCGAGCCCCGGGTCTGAAGCTGCTGCATGAGGTAAGTCACCCCCAAAAAGGCCAGTTCAAAAAATCCCACAAGACAACACATCTGTACACATAGTAGCTGCAAACACATAAATATATCTATCTGTATGTTGAAGCAATGTATGACATTAATGTGTCTACAGTTAGTGTTGCAGACAAGAACATTTGAAATTGGGCTGAGAGAAAAAACGCTTTTCAATAAGTTAGGCAATGACAAAAGGGGTGCAAAATGCAGGGTCTACACTCTTTTTAAATAGTCAATGCACAATAGATTATGGCATATGTTTGACATATTATAAATATTCTGTATCTTAAATAAACCTCCACTATGATTGTAGATTCAACTGAACAAAGAAATGTGTGTAAAGAAACATGAAAATTAAGCATCCAGAAGGTAATCACAATGGTTTGCAGCATGTTGATTTTCTCATGAAAAAATAAATTTTGTGAACATATTACATCAGCAATCTTGCCCAAATACTATCAATATTGTAGTATTGGTAATCTGTGTTCGTTTCACAACATGTGAAGCAACTTTGGACAAAAAAAATGATACATGTAATATTTCCTGCACACAGAAATTCAGCAGTCTATCACTGGTTCACTCTCTCGGCACAACAGATGAAATTATAAAGTTTATTAAATCCCTCCTCGTTATTTTAAATAGCTATACTACAGTTAGTCATGGTGTGGGTAATCGTCCCGCTTCCAAGATGTCTCGACCGGTATGGAAGAGTAGGCCAAATATCCTCCAGAGGCTATCTGGTGCTCCCTCTAGTGGAGACCCTTCTACCAGCCGTAATATGAAAAAAAATGCATATCGCCTTATTTAAAATACCACACCTTGCGGTTTGCTTTGACAGCATGAATCACTTCATAGTAGACCTTCCTCCAAAGCAGCTCCTCAGCCTTGCGTCCGTAATCCACAGGGTGCAAAAACATGAGCTGCACGCACAGCTCCCGCAACCTTATTGCAATGAAAACACACACAAGCATGCAAAAGATGCAGGTTAAATTATGATTAGAGCAGCTATGCTTCATATGCTACCTGAGGTGATGAGGTGGCTCAGAGATCACAGCACCAAATGACACTGCCGAGATCCTGTGTTCAAATCAAGGTAGCCTGTTATTAATTATTCAGTGTAGTATGCTGATGGTCTCAGCCCAGTAACCAATGGTGGCACAAAAAAACGGATTACTTTAAATTTGGTTCTTCACTAAATTTGGCTAAATTACAGTTATAAGATTTAAAAATATCAGTTTGACTCATGCGATGAACTTTACTCTCAGTGGCAGAGTGGGTGGGGAAAGTGCTGTACTGTGTGGACCAGATGTCACTTCAAGGAATCCCAGAGGTAGTTCTGTGATATACGCTTCTGTGGGCCATTCTCTGGATACTTTATCTCATGACGTGATGCACGTCGCACAATTGGAATAAAATTGTAGAAAAATAACCATTTAGATGAAATTCACCCTACCCACAAAGTGTGGTCCCTCCAACACTGCATCTACTGCAGTGTTGGAGGGACCTGATGAAAAAGTACTGTTCTTTAAATTACCATTCATTTTGTTGAACATGACAGAACAACATTTTAACATCTTGCAATTATATACATTTTATTGAAACAACAAATTGCTTACTTGTTTCTTTGGCTGACATTCTCTGGCTTGAAGACTTCTTGACACACAGATGAACTGGAAATGATGGTGTCCAGCCGATGAACAACATCCACAACCGCCCTACAAGCAAGTTACACCAGGACACAGTATTTAATAATACTTAAGAATACTTTCATTTTATATAGCGTCATTCATGCCAACAGCAACCCACAAAGCTGTACATGAATGACATATAAGGACCAAATCCCATAAACGCGGTTGGCTACGGACAGCGCGAAAGAAGCGTTACAACTCACACTCAAGTTTAATAAACCGTGAACCAATTAACGACAGAGGCCGTTTCCGACAATTATAACGTGACAAATAAGCCTATTATTGTCCTAAACCACACTGCATAATCCACAGCTGAAAAGGTGCCTACAGAGTGTATTCAGCATAACACTTTATATAAGTACTCTTTGGTTCTTTCGGTAAAGTCACGTAGAAATAAAATAATAGAATACGACGTTTCGATTGCAACACAAGCAACCATCATCAGGTATAACTAAATTTGAGAGAGAGACAAAACACAGACACGGAGACACACATACAGACACACAAGCAGAGAGAGACGACACAGAGACACACAGAAAGACAACACAGAGACATACTCTTTGGTTCTATTGGGTAAAGTCACGTAGGTGAAAATAAAATAACCAAAAATCACGACGTTTCGGCCACAACAAAAGCGGCCTTCATCAGGTGAAGGGACGAGACTGTCTGGAGGACAGCGCTGGAGTGGACGAGACTGTCCTCCAGACAGTCTCGTCCCTTCACCTGATGAAGGCCGCTTGTGTTGTGGCCGAAACGTCGTGATTTTTTGTTATTTTATTTTCACCTACGTGACTTTACCCAATAGAACCAAAGCGTATGGATCCTAGCAGTCACGAAAGCTTTAAATCTAGAACACAGAGACACACAGAGAGACAACAGAGACACACAGAGACATAACATAGACACACAGAGACCCCAATGCCTCTGTATCGAGGCCTTAAATAGAGAGGGGGACAGAGAGAGAGGTGGGTCTGCTGGAGCAGAGAAATTAGCATGCCACTGAAAGTCTCAACAAGACTGGTACATTTTAGAGAGAGTTGTGTGGAAACCCACATCAATGAGAGGTTATAGTATTGCACATTAATGTACTGTATTCCAAGAGAGTGGTACGCACACAACGCTTTGCAACCAGCTGCCTGAGTTCAACATCAGTAGCGTGTAATAAATCTGAACCGGACCAGAGCCACACTCCCTTTACCAATCCACACTAACCATCATGGTGAAGTATGGTCAAACAACCAACATGACCACGACGTGGAAGGCCTGAATCCAGCAATAGATCAACAAAGAGCTCTACATTGCTTTAGTTTAGTTTGAAGTTTGTCCAAATGTCTCAATTGTGTGTTAAAGGGGGCAATTTATTCGGGGAATACATCCTGCAGTGTCTCACGAACAACGTACTGATGAGGAACGATAAAGTCGGCCTATTTGGATTGGGCCCTCAAACAGAAGCGGATCATCGATCGTGGCTCTACGATGATGATGAACTACATCGTAATGTGGTTCAGAGGCCCATACGAACCGGTCGACTTGGGGAGGGCCTTCATCAAGCAGCGGAATGACCATTACGGTACTCATGATGATGATGAATAAAATACAATATCACCACAAGCTCACCGGCTGACTTGGGAGAGGGAGCATTCATCCATCGGTGGCACATAGTTCATGATGATGACGAACAAAAAAGAATACCACAGGCCTCCCTTAATTCAGCAGTGGATCGACCATGGCTCATCCTCATGATTAAATAACAACACCAATGAGGCCCAAATGACCCGGACCACTTGAAGAGGGCCCCTCAACAAGCGGTAGATTGATCACGGCTCAACAATTACGCCGATGGTGAAAAACAATATAACGGGAGTACTTTTTCAAGCCGTTGAATTAATTACCGACGATTAACAAACCCACGATAACACCACCGACGCCTTCCCCCGCATGCGGCAGTGGAACGATCGCGTCTCGACGATTTATAACAAACTTAAACAAGCCAACCCCTCCAATAACGCCACCGAGGGCCTAGCGGAGCAGGCCGGGAGATGAGGGCGCGAAGTCGCCGCGCTCGGCTAGCGGGGCACCCACCGGTAGAGGCGCTTCGTCTGCACGACTCTAGGCGAGTCGTGAGGCGGAGGCGGCGGCAGCGGCGGCGGCAGCGGCGCCGGTGGGGCCGCCTCGCCCATGCCCGCGGGCGTCGGGAGGCAGCACGAGTCGCTCGTCGTGGTCATGGGCCCCCGCGTCTCTCCGAATCGCGCTCGCGGCCAGAGGCAGACACCATCACGGCACCCGCTCGCTCGCCGTCTCGCCCAAAACGCTGCGCTGGTGAGAGTGGTTTCGGAGGCGTGGAGTGCACCTAGCCTGGCACGAAATTACACGCGGGGACGTCACCGCCGCGTAGTGGCCGCTGGGTGGCTTTAGTCACTTGCGTCCGATTGTAAATGTCGTGGCTTGGATCTCCAAACACACCTGTGTTGTTGTCGTGACGAATCGGACACGTTCTGTTTACGTGACAAACCCCCTTACTAATTGGCCGTGTCGGGTGGTGGCGGGTTTGAACGACACATTTATATTTACGCCATCTAACCCAAAAATAAACAAAAATCTGTATTATGGATGATATTATATTCTTGGTTCTTTCGGTAAAGTCACGTAGAAGGGAAACAATAAAATAATAAAAATATAAAACAATAGAATTCTCACGACGTTTCGACTGCAACACAAGCAATCATCATCAGGTGTGAAAACCACAGCAAGAAAATTTGAAAAAAGTGGCGTATTTTTTAACATTAGCACCACGTAGAGCGATTTGGCAGTTTGTTCAGATGGACGAGTCCATCTATGTTCGGAAAAGAGGAGGGGGGAGACGAAAATAATGGATGCGGTTTGAAAGCCACCATAAGCGTGAACAATCAATTAAGACCCTAAATGGTTTTTAAAATCCTTCCAATGATTGCTAAGCCAGAATCCATCTTCTCGGTTTAAATTGTCTCTGTGTTTGTATATGTGGATAGCCTCATGAACGAATCTTCCATGGTAGCCAGATGGCTTGCAGAGAACCTCTGTCTTAAAAAAAAGTCAATGTCATGCGAGCCTACTGAATTATAACAGTGATCTGCCACGGCCGAGGTGTTGGTCCTACCGTGTTTTAGGTCTGCTTTGTGTTCACGAATGCAGTCCGAGACATGTCGTTTGGTTTCCCCAATGTAACTACTACCACAGAGGCAACTTAGTTTGTAGACACCAGGGTACTGTATGTCCGGAATCACATCTTTTACAGACGGAACCAGATCACGGATTTTAAGAAATGTGTTGAATCAGACCTGGATCTTGTGTTTATTCAAGATTTTGGAGATATTTTTTGTGATCCCTGCAATGTAGGGTAAAGTGATGGTTTTGAATGGCTCCTCAAGAGGGTCCTTCTTCATGGTTGGAGTGATAGCTTTGCGGATTGTGTAGTCGGAGTGACCATTAGCCTTAAGAGCTTGGTGTACGTGCTTGAGTTCAACACCTCGGCCGTGGCAGATCACTGTTATAATTCAGTAGGCTCACATGACATTGACTTCTCCAAGACAGAGGTTCTCTGCAAGCCATCTGGCTACCATTAGAGATTCTTTCATGAGGCTATCCACATATACAAACAGAGACAATTTCAACCGAGAAGATGGATTCTGGCTCAGCAATCATTGGAATGATTTGTTAAAGCATTTCGGGTCTTAATTGATTGTTCACGCTTACGGTGGCTTTCAGATCGCATGCATTATTTTTGTCTCCCCCCTCCTCTTTTCCGAACATAGATGGACTCGTCCATCTGAATAACTGCCAAAACGCTCTCCGTGGTGCTAACGTTAAAAAATACGCCACTTTTTTCAAATTTTCTTGCTGTGGTTTTCACACCTGATGATTGCTTGTGTTGCAGTCGAAACGTCGTGAGAATTTTATTGTTTTATATTTGTATTAGTTTATCGTTTCCCTTCTACGTGACTTTACCGAAAGAACCAAGAATATGAATCCCTGCAGTCACGAAAGCTTTAAATCAAAATGGATATTGTTCGTGAAATCATTAACTACGTGTTAAAGTAACGTCTGGTGTTGTTGTCGGTGCAGTCGTTTGTGATGGTGGAGAGAGGTGGTGGTGTGGCGGGTTGTGTTTGTTGTTGTTGCAGCGTGCGTGCTGGCGGGAGTTGGCCCCCTTGTGGATGTGGAGGGAAGTGTCACGTAGTAAGTTTGCTTCCGCGACCAATATCGATAATATAGGTTTTTAAATTATTACACGCTTTTTATTAATTCGCTGTCTGTTGTTGTTGTATCCTCAAATCTTGTAACTCAATTTTAACACACTTCCCAATGTGGTATCGACTGCAAACTTGGTATACTTATGTCATACTGATGACAAGACTATATTCTATCATACAAAATATATTTTTGAACATTATTTTTTTATGTTATGTTTCGGCTTGGGTCTAATTGACCACGGTCCCCTTACGTTGTGGCAAGCTTCGGGGCCACTTCCTGGAGTCGTGGAGTTCTGCCATTACTAGTACATTTCATAAAAGCGTGTTTTTTAATTATTACTTATTTTGGGGTTAGATCGTGTAAATGTGTCGTTAACCCCGCCACAGACAATTAGTAAGGTTTGTCGCATCAACAGAATTGCCAATTTACATGTTCTGTTTACTCGACAAACCGTACTAATTAGTAACGTAAACATAATTTACGTGACAAACCTTACAAAACTGAATTGGAATGTTGTTTACTTGGCAAACCTTACTAATTGGCTGTGTCGGGTGGTGGCGGATTTAACGACACATTTATATTTATACGATCTAACAAAAAAACCTGTACTATGGAAGTGTCAGGGCGTCGTGACGGCGTGGCAGTGAAGGGAAACCCGATACATGAGACGCTGATTTTGTTATCGGGATAACGGTCATACAGGGTGAACGGACTCCCAATGGCTTCACGGTTGTATAGTGGGTATATATTACGGGATATGTTAAACAAATATTCTGGCAAGTCAGTATCTGAAATGAACCTCCACTGTTATTGGAGATTCAACCGGACAAAGAAATGTACAGAAACACAAAAATTAAGCATTCACGAGGTAATTACAATGATTTGCAGAATGTTGATTTTCTAATGAAAATAAACACTTTGTGAACATATTACATCATCAATCTTGCCCAAACACTATTGCTGTTAGTATTGGTAAGCTGTTACAACATACTTTCTTAAATCCCTCCTAATTTTAAACGGATACACCAGTTGGGTAATTGTCCCTCTTCCAAGATGTCTGGCCAGTATGGAAGAGTAGGCCAAATATCCTCCAGAGGCATCTGTGAGCAATAATCTTCAGTTGCACCTTTACCTTACTATTTGCTTTCACAGCATAAATCCGTAATCCACAGGGTGCAAAAACATGAGCTTCACGCAGTTATTGTTGGTGTGTAGTTTTACTTTTAACTCTTGCAACATGGCTTGGGGGGGGGGGACAGTTGATTGAAAACAAATTGTATCTAGCACAAGTTATCAACTAAACAGCTCACCTATCCATGTTGAGTATCATATGGTAGGTATATACCGCCACCTTTTAATTGCAGATGGAATTCAAGTAAACTAAAGAACAAAGAAAGTGTTTACATCTTTTTTTATTATTACTACAAGTATAACACACTTTAGTTGAGTTGCATAAATACAAGCGCACAGGTGAGAAGCATTCAACTTTTATGGTTAAAATACATTTTACAGTACAAAATGTGAGAGCATCAGTCACAATTATTCAAGATTTATTAAAACTGGAATTCATGGAAGACTGAAAAATATACCTGTAAGCACACAGTATTTGAATTCAAGAATACTAATGAATTAAAAAAATACTGCATCAACATTCCAAAAATAATCACAAAAACATAACGGGTGTGCTGTGGCATTGAACAAAAAAACAGCTGAAAAATAAATCATCATTGTCATTAAAACCATTTATTCGAAAACTAAATTTACTATTTAAAGCAGTGACTGCTAATGTTTAAAATAAGGAGACTAACCTACTGCCTATGTTGTAACAGTAATAATGACAACAATGAGGATTCTACGGCCGAACCAAAAATTGTACATCCTCGAAGTTTATTTAAAATACTTTTTGTTACGGCTCTGTATTTTGTAAATGTGTTTAATCTGCCAAAAAATACATTTAGCAATACTGTATGTGACAGTACATTTATTGAGGAACTAAAGAACACAATACAGCATAGCAAATGAAATGTAAAGTGCACATTAAAACTAAACATTTTATATTGTACTGTCTAGAAGTTTGGTGTAAAACTCCTTTTTTCCATATTTCAGTTCAACATAGATCACAAGTTTGAATAGCAATGAATACACGTTTTAGCGGCCCTGCATATGCGTACAAAGAGTTATCATAAGCAATTTTCGACAAACCTAAATGTTTATTGATAAAAAAAAATGCAGGCCACGACTGGTTGCTCCAATTATTTAAAAGGTGCGTGGATCCCAAATCGTATATTCGAGGTCCAGACGTTGGTATTTTTAAGGCCTCGTCCGTCTGTTGAAAAAGTCACATATTACAGTCAGATTTTTTCCCCCATTCAAGCACAAATGCAAAACAAAACGTTTTGCAATGCAACTAGTGATACATACTTCGGATGAGCATGGTGTTGAATGCCTGGTCCAGCAGTGGAGCCAGCTTTCATCTCGACTGCAATAGCACACTGCAGAGAAAGAGAAATGAATTTAAATAACGAGTGTCATCATGACATGCTTGATTGCAACCTTAAATGTATTTCTAGTAACAAAGCTTCAAACTCACGTCACATCCTGGGACAGCCAAGTTATTTGTTTACAAAATAAGAGCAATTTGTTTTCTGGATTTGTTATTATTTCAAGACTCAAAATGAGAAACGACAACACTTTTGTCCTCACTCTTGTCTCCACGTCGGTCCACTCAGAGTCAGGTGTATCTGATCTCTGCACAGGCGCACGCTGGTCTGACTTGCGCTTCCTACAGAGGTCAAAATCGGTGCAGCATTGCACATCATGAGAAAACGTAGAAGAAATATACCAACATTCTCACGAACATATGTAAATGCAGGCAATGTAAAAATCCACAAAAAATAAAACTTGTAAAAACAGTGTACAGTACCTGGATGAGGGCGACTCCTGCTTTAGGGTCTCAATGTCTGTGAACTGTACGGACTGACCACCGCCTCGTGTCTTGTAAACTTGGCCCTGCAGACAAAAAACGTACTAAGAGTTTCAGACATGCATTCCTGTTATGAGAATATAAAGTAGACAAAAGACATGCTCGCTGAGTCTAGAATGCCTTTTTCAAGTCCTTTGGCCAATTCTTTTCTGAAATAATTTTAGGCGGAATCTATACCAGATTAACCCAAAGCATGACCCATTCAGCAAATGTTTCCATGCAAAAGTAAACTGTTTTTAGAACTAAATTCAAAAGGAGAATGCATCAAACACTTTC